CAGTCTGGAAATATATGTGAATTTGAATATGTGAATCTAATTGACCGGGTGAATCTAATGCACCCACATGTGAATTTGTTTCACATATTCAAAATCACATATGGGTGAAAGAGATCACATATGGGTGAATTTCTTTCACATATGGGTGAATTAAATTCATCCATATGTGAATTTGAATATGTTAATCTAATTCACATGTGGGTGAATTAGATCACCCATATGTGAAACAGATTAACAAATTCACATGTGGGTGAATTTGATTCACCCATATGTGAATCCAATTCACATATTGGGTGAAATCTCAAATCAGCCATATGTGAATGTCATCCACATAAGATCACACAGGGGGGAAAAACTTGAGATCTGATTAGAAATTTGTTTAATTTTTAAATTTTCCCCAGGATCAATGTTCAGCATCTCACACAGCTGCTTCAGATGTACGAGGAAAATCTATGTGGAAAGGATGTGATGAAACAGGCCTTATTGCAATGGCTTGTAGGCATGATCACGTTGTGAAATATGTAAATGTGGTTCAGAGTGGGGAGCGGTGAGGGTTTCTTTCCAACTACATACAAGTGGTGTGTTCCAATGCTAATTATACCACTGTTATACCACTGCATTACCTAGTCAGTACTTTGTATTGGCATTGCTTGATCAACTGTTGATAGATACTACGGAGCCAGGCAAACCTGGTAAAAGTTTTACTGTTTTCTATGATATTGGTTGTACATTTGAGAAGAGTGTTCAAAAGGTAAATTTTTTGATGGTTTCTTGGCCGCTCTTACATTGATTCCATTGCTTCTTATTTGTTTTTGACAGCACAAATATTTTGAGGCAGAATACAATCATGGAAATCTGCGCTTTGCAACTAGTGCTTTCCATGCATATGCGCATGAGTGGTCTTGTCAGCTTGAATATAATCCCAGACTGAATGTGGGCAACGGATTGTCAGATGGCGAAGGTTGTGAGCGGATATGGGGAGAGAATTCTCCTCTGGTAGCACCAAATAGATGTGCCACAAAGCAACATCGAGTTGATGCCATAGATTTGAAGTCAAGTCATGGAAATGAGACTCGATGCCAAAATTCAGGTATGTTTTTTTGTACAAGATATGTGAATCAGATGTTGACGACAAGAGTTCAGTTTTCACAACTCAGGTGAAACTAAAGACGGCAGAGCAGAGATTTGATCAAGCATCTCAAACCCTCCAACGGCTAGAATCTCAAGATGCCGGTTTTACATATATCTATTTTTCTGATCAGTGGAAGCGGCAGAGAGAGGTCCAGCTGGCTGCCATGGAAGAACGTGGGATACAACAGAAGCTAGAGGAATATCTCGTGAAGCTTCTCGACCTGGAAGAGCAGGTGAAAGATGCCCAGTAAATTACGTCAAATTTTATTTGGATGAGTGTTTTTTGTTGACTTTTTTTGCGGCAGGAATGAGCTTTCACGTCTGCGAAGGAAGCGCAGAGGAAATCGGACAGAAGCTGAGATGGACAAATTTTTAACTTTGCCATCTTCAATTGTCTCACTCGAAAAGGCGGTTGCTGATATTACTTTAGAGTTGGGAACACCTGAGTTCAATAGACTTCGGGAAGCTACTGGTGAGTTCTGTGTCTTTATTTAACCCTTTGTCTGCACTTTGAATTGAAATGGATATTGTATTTATGAAGGTCCGAAAGCAGAGGCACTGATACGTGTGAGGTTGGCAAAGATGAAGCTATATGAGGCTAAGGTGGGTATAGTAGAAGCCCAAAAAAAGTGGGATAAGGGTGGTCAAGGCGAGTGTTTTTAGTTTTCAATTGGGAAATTAGTAGAGCCCACTCTTATGATAAATGTTTTTTTTGTAATAATTTTGGATCTTCTAGGAACTAAAGCGCAACAAGGTCTTAAAACTCTAATGACTAAGAAGCAATTGATGTTTAGGCGAAAGTGGACATCCTATGAATCTCAAGTGTCAGATTACAACTCCATCTGCCCAGTATCAAGGATGAAATGTCCATCACTTGAAGAAGCCAAAAAGCTACCATTTGAGGATGTATTCTGGAATGTGGGCGCGCTTTGTCATCCTACGGAGAAGTGGGCTGTAGATCCACCCACGATAGAAGGAATTCAGGCCTTCTTACAGCATAGGAGTTGTGGTGAAGAACTACAAAGGATTGGCCGGGAAACTCAGCAGATGGTGTATCAAGCTTTGAAGACTGAAGAACGGCTTGATGGCTTATTTGCGTTGTGTAGTAATGGTCAGTAGGATTATGTGTGATTGATGGATTTGTCTTTGGTGTTCCTCACGTTTTTCTTTAAATCTCACAGGTTATGATCCAGAAGAGGGTGGCAGGCAGCTCATTGAATTGGTTCAGCCTGGACAGCGTATATCAAAAGATGTTTGGGAAGTGAATGTGGCAGTGTTGAAATCATTGCATGATGTGCTGCGTCAGAAGTATTGCAGAACTTGGATGATATGGGATTCAAATCTTGTGGAATTGCTCCGTAGAACCTATCAACACACAACGTCAACAGAACGGGAAATTAGCTCTTTGATCCAGCGCTGGGAAAGTGTGGTAAGTAGGGGTAAATCAACCTGGGAGCGTATTGTGAAAGCTCAGAATATAGAAGCAACACCACTGGATGAGCTGGAAATGTTTGAACAACTTATGGTGCATGGGGAGGATGACATGGGTCAGGTGGGTGACCTGGCAGATGAAGTGGTTGAACTCTTCATTCATGATGAAGAGGATGATGTTGACCTGGAGGAACACTTCAATGAAAGCGGTTTTCATTAAGATTAAGCTTGTTGGTTGTTGGTTTTGTAGTCCTTAAAATCAAAGGAATATTATAGATTAATTTTCAATCATGTTTAGCTAGGATTTGATATGAGATTGTTGAGTCACGTGGGTGGGATGTAAATATGTGTAAAATCACATATGGGTGAATTAATTCACCTTGTGTGATTTCATATCACATATGGGTGAATACATTCACCCATATGTGATTCTACAAATATTTATACACTGGTAGAAATTTGTTTCCTACACGTGTGATTCCATATCATGTATGGGTGAATTAGTTCACCTTGTGTGATTCCATATCACATATGGGTGAATGTATTCACCCATAGGATTTGATATGAGATTGTTGAGTCACGTGGGTGGGAAGCTGTTTCCTACATCTGTAAATATGTGTAAAATCACATATGGGTGAATTAATTCACCTCGTGTGATTTCATATCACATATGGGTGAATACATTCACCCATATGTGATTCTACAAAAATTTACACACTGGTAGAAATTTGTTTCCTACATGTGTGATTACATGTCATGTATGGGTGAATAAATTCACCTCGTGTGATTCCATATCACATATGGGTGAATACATTCACCCATATGTGATTCTACAAAAATTTACATTGATTTTTATTATACCCTGTCTGTGATGTAGCTGGGATTGTAGGGAAGATTGCTGAGTCACGCCGGTGGGAATAAGTTTCCTACATGTGTAATTTAGTATCACATATGGGTGAATACTTTCACCTGGTGTGATTTCAATTCACATATGGGTGAATACATTCACCGAAGTGTCATTTGTGATCATGCTGGGTAAATTGTGATTTTAAGTAGAACTGTAGGGTTTGAGAGTCTCACTAGTGAAAAATTATCTGCCACACATCAGTATCTATATCACACATGGGTGATTTTGCTTCACATATGTGTGAATTGTATTTGCTGTAGTGGGGTGATTATACCAAGCCCTCCTGACAGGTGAGTGGGAAATATAGATGCGGCTGATAGTAGCGTCCATTTCATTCAGAATCTACATTTGTGGCGAGTTGGTTACAATCGTGGGTCCGACGCGTCGGGGGCGGCGGCGCGTTGGTAGGGGGAGTTCCGGACAATGTCCGCTAGGAATTGCACGTTTTTCTACGGATAGTATCCGAAGCGTCTAGTAGACACAGGTGGTATATTTATTGATGAAGGATGATAAGATGCGCTACTGGCTACAATCCATGATCTATGACGGTCTATCATACACAATCATCTGCGTATTGAATCGCACTTGCAGGTTTGAAAGGTGTGATTTTCAATAATCCGTGACGGCTTTCTTTGCATTTGAATACAACCACAAAGTCTGATTTTGTGGTCGATGATCATACGTTGCGATGATTGCGTGAATGATCTTTCGTCCGTCGCTTTCACTCCAGCAGTATCGTGTTCGCAACCTGCATTGCTTCGGCAGTATTCGGGCACTTTGCTGTCGAGCGCGGTCAACAGTACTTTATTCATCCATTCCAAAGTGGTTAGTTTTTCTTTTATTACCGCAAGGTCTGTGTCTTTGCGCTTTTGTTCAATGACTGATGGTTTGTCTCCTTCGGCCAGGAATACACACATCAGTATCCCTCCGAATCCTGATACGGAATCTACCACAAGGATTAGGAACTCTGCCTGTCTATGAAACTGCCGCCCATAGGAGTGTTGACTTGATGAGTCCTTGGAATGATTTCGGGTCATAAGCTGTGAGGTGTGTGAAAGTTTTGGTGAACAATCGACTGACGTTTTGGGATACATTCTGTTTGTTGATTGTGGCCAATTATCAAACGGCGCACCAACCGAACCGCGGTCTGAGACTTACGGCCTATTCTGTTCGTGGTTTGGATCACTCAAATTAATCACATCCTGACGTACTTGGCGTGAAATCGCTGACGACTCTGCGCATCATTGCGGCCATCAAGTGACTGTCCTCGTGGCCAGGCAGTATGTCTGGTGGCTTAGACTAAACGCACTATTGTCCCAGATTAATAGAGGACAATTGTGATAGACGCCTTATGTTGGCCCATTAGATTCGAAGCAGTAGAACACTATTCCAGGTTTTTTACTGCGTAAGTGCTGATCATTTTTCTCTCGCTTATCTATTCGCACTAAACCGTTCGTTGTTGGAGCACAGTCTGTTGTTAGTTATCAATGCCTCCAAGGAGGGCTGCGAAGGGTCCAGCAATACGGACCGAAGCCCTGGGCAGCGAAGCAAACCTATTGCACCGATTCCGAGGTGAAATACCGTTCAGTCTTGGTCGTCAATCTGATGTATGCCAAGGCTGTGGAGCTTTCAGATGGAGGCTTGAACGACGACTGAAAGATGCTACACATGAAGATGCGACCTTTGGTAATTGCTGTCGTCATGGCGATGTTGATCTGCCTGTGAAATATTTCCCTGACTTAGTGGATGAACCCGTGCCTGGATTTTTTCGTGAATTGCTAAAAGGAGACGATGATCGTGGGCAGATTCAATTTTGTTATCAAATTTTTAATGTGTCACTGATTTTGTTTCTTTTACAGGATCAGTGAAGTTCCGCCAAAAGATTCAGAAGTATGATAACGCACTGTCATTTACTTCTCTTGGTGTATCCCTGGATTCCGACGTTCTGGGGCAGGCTGGCCATTATGTATTTCGTATCAACGGTCAACTGTCCCATAATATCCCTTCACTGATGCCGCTGAAGGAAGGCGAGCCTGGCTTTGCTCAGATCTTCACTTACGGTAGTGGAGGTCACGAAGAAGCCCGTCTCCGCGTCCAACGATCTGGCCTGGACTTAGAACCAGATATCCTGTATCTGTTTCAACAATTCATGTATCGCCACAATCCTTACGCCAAGGTCTTCAAATCAGCAAACTCAATTTGCAATAATCAAGTTGTGAAGACGCTTCGGATTAAGACTGTTATTGCTCCAGGCACCGATCATCGTAGGTATAACTTGCCAACGGCTAATGAAGTTGCAGCAATCGTGGACGGTAATGGAGAAGTTGGGCAGAGGCAAAGGGACATCGTATTGGTCAGGAAGTCAGGTCGTCGTCAACGTATTTCGGAACTACACACCGGTTACTTTGCCCTTCGATACCCCCTTCTGTTCCTATACGGCTCGCAAATGTGGCACGAGTCTTTCAAAAACCCCACACCTACGAGTGAGTTGCTCTTTTGTAATCATCGCAGCCTGATACTGACTGACACGGGTGCTATAGACCCAGAGGGCGACGTCACAAACCTCAATTGGTTTGCTTACCTATTGTTTAAGCGACCACCATTCTCAGTCATATTGGCTTCTGGGCGACTCTTCCAAGAATTCGCAGTTGACATGTATATATGTGTTGAACATTCCCGGCTCCAATACCTACGATTCCACCAGAACAAGATTCGTGCTGAGATGTACCACGGCGCGATTGAGGCATTAGGTAATGAGACAGAAGATGAGGTCGTGGGCCGCAGGGTTGTCTTACCTTCCAGCTTTATTGGAGGCCCGAGGCATCTACAACAACTATACCAGGACTCGATGAGCCTGGTCGCGGAGTACGGGAATCCCAGTCTGTTCATCACCATGACTGCGAACCCCAAATGGGCCGAGATAGTGGACAAGTTAGAAGACGGGCAAACTTCTGATGATAGACCTGACTTGGTAGCTCGAGTGTTTTATCTAAAGCTTCATGCTTTGCTTGATGATCTGATCAGGCGGGAAAGGCTTGGAGTGGTTGTTGCATACGTCTACACGATTGAATTCCAGAAAAGAGGCCTACCTCATTGCCATCTCATACTGTTCTTGGACGGCCCATCAAGACCGGTGACCGAAAACGACGTGGATTGTTTGATCTCTGCACAATTGCCTAACCCAGAAACAGAGTCACAATTGTTTGATCTGGTTACCCAACATATGCTACACGGCCCGTGTCGAAAATTCCCATGTTGGAATGGCTCAGAATGTACCCGCGGTTTCCCAAGGCCTTTAATTGAAACCACATCGTTAGCGGACGACTCTTACCCGACTTACAAGCGCCCAGACAATGGAAGGCACTTCATCAAAGGTCCAACTAAATACGATAATGGGAGTGTTGTACCTTATAATCGGTTTTTATTACTCAAGTATAAATGTCACATCAATGTTGAAGTAGCGGCTAGCATTCGAGCAGTTAAATACCTATTCAAATACATATTAAAGGGTCATGACAGAACCATGGCTCAGCTTGAAGGAGATGAGACACAGGATGAAATACTTGCTTACCTTAATGCACGGTTCATCAGTGCGCCTGAAGGTGAGCCTCAGAGTTATTTTTTCATGTACCCACATTCACTAACATATTGCTTCAGCTATTTGGCGCCTGCTTAAGTACCCAATTGCCGGTCAATACCCACCTGTCCAACGCTTGGCTTTACATACGGAAGGTAATCAGACGGTCTACTTCCAGAAAGAAGATGGCCTACGAAGAGCAATCAAGACAGGCCGGGCTTCACGGACAACCTTGACCGAGTTTTTTAGACTTTGCAAGGAGAATGTTAAACTTCGTGATTCAAATGCAACGTCTCGATCATTAAAGTATCAAGAGATCCCGAAGCATTTTGTTTGGAACCAAAAGACCAAAAAATTAACAGTTCGCAAGAACGCATCGATCTCGGTAGGAAGGGTCTATTTTGCAAATATCAAAAGGGGCGACGTTTATTATCTTCGTTTGTTGTTGTCTCACGTCCGAGGGCCAACCTCTTTCCAGGACCTCAAGACGATTGATGGGGTCACTCTGCCAACGTATCGTGAAGCTGCAGATAAGCTGGGGCTTTTGATGAGCAATCAACATTATCATCGAAGCCTTCGTGAAGCTGCAGTATGGAAAACAGGCCACCAGCTCAGGCGTATGTTAGCAATTATTCTGTGCCACAGTTCTCCCGCGAACCCAGACGAATTATGGTCGGAGCACATTGATAACCTCTCAGATGACTGCGAACATCAACTCAAACGGTTGAATCCGCGCTTAAGACCATCGCCTGATCAAGTCCACAATTATGCATTACATCAACTTGAAAAAATCATTGTATCCATGGAATCGTCCCTAGAATCAGTTGGTGTGCGAGCCGTAGATCACCAATTGCTGTTTCAATTAGATCTTCCAGACGCTGACAGGACTGATCGTAACAATATTACCAATCCAGAAGAGAGCAATCGCAAATATGAAGCCATGATGCGGCTTCTAACCGGTGAGCAGAGGTCTGTCATTGGTCCAATTGTCGAAGCACTGAACGATAACACTCCATACATGGCGTTCCTGGACGGTCCGGGTGGTACTGGTAAGACTTTTGTCTTGAATTGTCTATTGCATTACTGCAATGGCAATCAGGTACCTTTTGAAGCGGTGTCGGCAGCAGGAATCGCATCGCTCCTCCTCTTGAACGGTCGAACTGCTCATAGTGCGTTCAAAATCCCGATCATTGTTGATGAAGAATCAGTGTGCCCGATTTCGGCTAGGGATCACATTGGTCGAAGGCTTCAAGCAACCCGATTCATTGTTTGGGACGAGGTGGCGATGCAGCACAAACACGCTATTGAGTGCGTTGATTGAACGGTCAGGGACTTGACTGGGATTGACTTACCTTTTGGAGGGAAAGTGGTTTTATTTGCCGGTGATTTCCGCCAGACCCTTCCTATTGTCAGGCGGGCCAATCTGATGTCACAGGCCGCGGCTTCTTTGAAGTCTTCGTTTTTGTGGACACACATTGCTCGATTTGGATTAACACTGAACATCCGTCTTGGAGGTAATAGTGGTCAACCTGACCCTGGGAACACCAACTTCGCTGCCTGGTTATTGGACCTGGGCTCAGGGAGATTGCAGACCAATTACGCCGAGGTCCTGGAATTAAAGCACTGCAATGTTTCAGTCATACGTCCACCGGCGCTCTTTGACCCAGAATTAGTTGATACCGAATATCGTGGGGCAAGCAACTTGGTCAGGGATAGGAACTGGCCTGAATTAATTGAATTATACTCAAGCCGTTGCATCATTACGCCTCTGAACTCCACGATGTCAATCATCAACAACCATGTAATGGAATCACTGCCCGGTGATTATCGTGTTTCAACCTCAGTTGATCTCATGGATGAGGCCTTCTGCAATCCAGTGACCGTTGATGTGTTGAACACATTTGATTTTCCCGGTTTCCCCGCTCACGAAATGCATCTTAAAGTCGGGACCTCTGTGATGGTGTTGCGAAACTTGCAATTGGCTGGTGGTTTGTGCAACGGAACAAGATTACTGATCACGGATTATTCTGACAACGCTCTTCAATGCCGGATCTTGACCGGTGAATCCATTGGTACGGCGATAAGTCTTCCAAGAATGAGACTTCATCATGAAGGCAACGAATATTGCCCGATTCCTTTCTATCGCTTACAATTCCCAGTTGTTCCAGCGTTTTGCATGACCATAAACAAGAGTCAAGGTCAAAGTTTACAAAGGGTAACCGTCCTATTACCAAAACCTGTCTTCACCCATGGTCAATTGTACGTTGCGCTTTCGCGCTGCACCTCCACTGCTAATGTTCATGTGTGCATTGTCTCTGATCAAGATGATTTGGCTACTAAAAATATAGTATTTCACCCGGTTTTGGAAAATTAATATTTCAATCAGTTTGAATAATCGGGGGTTGATCAGCCTTGATTCCATTGCTTTTTTCTTTGTATTACTTTTTTGTTGTGAAAGATAATAAAGAGTACATTGTTAGATCTTTAATATTGTAATTATGATACGCCTTCGTGCCTGATAAACTTCCTTAGATCTTAAAGTTGGGGTCCCAGATTCTACAATCAACATTGTTGTTTGTGTTATTATTGGAGCATCAGACCAGACTGTCAACGGCGGTACCTGACAGATACACAGTATGCCAATTGTTTGAAAATGGGTAGGCAGGATCCGCATTATTTAACATTGACACTAACCCATTGCCTCACCATGTCAACACCCTAAAAGCCAACAGATTTGAGCAGGTTATGCCGACACGACCTGTGAATGCATACCAACTATTGTACACTAAATCAGAATGTCTCATGCAGACACATCTGCTATTGGTAGATTGGCTTTACAGGAACACATGATCGGGTCGCCCGAAAAGCACGTTGACCCGAAGGATCAATGATCCAGGTGTATGAAACCCCCTGTCTGATTGGAAATATTGGGACTGCTGAACCAATACGCCTGATTTGACGTCTGGTATCCAACAAGGTACGTTTTTCCCTGTACTCTCCGGTCATGAAATCTGTTTAGGTGACCTATAACTGACATCGCTATACGAGCAGGTGTCGATATTATAATCAACAAATTGAAAGCGCTTGGGTGTGAAAACGAGCGTCTACGATTGGGGTCCCCAATCACCGTCTTCAGCGTCTTCACGCCCCAATGATCAGTATCGGGATTCAAAACTGATATCAGTTTGTTCAGGAAGGACGGTGAGTAGCTGCCCATAGTCTAGGACTGTTTCGAGCGTCTGTCTGCCTCGTTCTCACCTCTGATCATGCCACTGATCACCTCACTACCGATTGAAATCATAGGGATTATCTTGGATCATCTTATCGACTCATGTCCCGGCAGAATGTTGTATTTTGAAAACTCTTTCGATGACTCTTACCTAGGTCCTGGTTTGGTATCGAACTTGCTTAATTTGCGCCTTATTGGTAGGACGTGGGCAATCGCAGTGATACCACGTGTTTACAGATCCATTCACTTAACTTCGCCCTTCATGATCAACACGTTATCAAGACGCTGGGACGACTCCTTCTTAGTCTCAAACATGGCGACGTTGCGTGCGTTATCATTTGATTGTTTGGTGTATCCTGATATCGATTTCATTGGGCGCCAATCGAATGATCCAAGCCCCGCCCCCAGTTCACGACTTGATTCAAGCAGCTATCTCATCAACTCAAATCATAACAATTAAACGAAGGAAGGGTTCAAAAACAAAACTGGTCAAAATCGGCCAAACTGTCCGTTCTCTCAGCCAAACGAGTATTGTACTTGAGGCAGAAACCAATTGGATCTGCATATCTGCACAACTCCGTACATCTCCACGACGTAAGCGCAAGCTATGCATCCGCCTCATGCCATCCGCCTCTCCATCTACAATATCCTCCTTTTCATGTTACCCTTGTCATTTAGATTCTTACTCTGTTCGCATATACTTATCGCCTTGGCCATCCCTACCAACAACCTCGATTTCAACAATCAACACAACGACTTGGTTGTCATAAACAACCAGCAGTTTGAGTTACCCCCTGCCAAGGGATGATCTTGAATCACAATGAGCGAGACACACAAGCCTAGGTCAAGCATGTATGTAAATCTTGAGACGAAAAGCCGCGCATGTCATGTCAACCTTGACACAATCAGCAATCAACGCATCCAATCCACCAATGCGATAGCAATCAATTCCGCACGGTGAATTTCAATCACAACTGGCTCTGCACATCCTCTGCCACCCCTGCTTTTCATCGCCAGCAAACTTGTTCATCAAGTAGGCCAGTCAATACTATACAGCATCTGATCTCTCCAGGTTAATACGCCGCGAAACGCAGACGTCAGCCACATGTTCAACTTGGCTTGAAAACATATCAATCCCCCCATTCTTGCTTGCTGATCAATTCACGTGTGATAACATCTTGTTGACCACACGGTCACGTGGAATTGCCTCACCAACACGTCAATCAACATCCAAAGCATCCATCGACAATTCACGGAAACATATTGTGTGGTCTCCACTGCGTCCACCACCTCCCATCTCAACGTCGAGAAGGGTAGAATGGTTGGAGTTTGGTGCGAGAAAGGTCTATTCAGAAAAATCGTTTCTTCCACTCATTCAAAACCTCAGCAACCCTAAGCAGCCTAAGCTATTTGGAAACCTGGACAGCTCAGACCTGTGCATCAACATGCCACATGATTTTATTTAACTGAAAAATTACCCCCTTGGACCCCATTCAATCAATATTCCTCCAAAGGATGTATTCCAAACGAGATGAACTTATCTGCGACGTACCTGGCCTTCACTCAGTTCAAACAATCACCTCTTCGAGACTACCTCTGTCAGTGCAGCAAGAGCATTAGCTATGCAACAACTCAAATATGCATTTTATGAGATCAATCAATCACAAATTGATTTAATAGAATATCAATCACTTTTAGAATCAGGATTAATTGCACAATCAAGTGAAAGAGATTGGAATGGGAACACCGTGTACGTATCACATTGAGATTGATTTGAATTTCTCCATCTTGACAAAATGATAAATACGTGGGATTCTACTTATCTCCTAAAAACAATTCTCAATCTCCATCAAATCATAATCTGTCTGCTTCCTTCATCACAGATCAATCTTTACGTGGTTCGGTTTCCAATATGAAATTGCAAAATAAACTTGATCAGCAACAGAACCAATCTCTTTCAAAACAAACATACAGTAGTCACCAAATCAAATAAACTCATCCAGTCGATCGATCACCAATCTCATCACCACTTAAAGAACTTCATCATCTTATCAATTCACCTCACACCTTCAATCAATCACTTCATACTTCAAAATGGTAGCTGCTACAAGTGAAGAAATGGTAGCTTTGAGTACCACTCAAGTATGTCAATCTCATTTTTGAACTATTGATCATTTGATTGATCAAAACTTTGCTAAATCAATGGGTGATATGTTCAAAAAGGTTTCACCTAAAGAGAAACTCATTGGTTGATATCATACGGGTCCTAAACTTCGTTCAACTGATCTTGAGATCAACGACGTTTTCAAACGGTATTGTCCTACACCGGTGATGGTGATTGTAGATGTGAGACCCGATCGGGGGATCGCAAAGGGATCTGTAACATATGCTTATTTTGCGATTGAAGAGATCAAAGTTGTAAGTATCTCAAATCAAGCTCTATCCGACTTGGTCAAGACATTAACCATTCCCCAACACAGGATGATACAGCTGTTGTGGTATTTAATAACCACGTTTGGTTTGGTCTTTATCTTCAAGTTATCATCAAATTCACATCGAGTTATCAACGTGTCAAGGACTTCCAGCTCGCTCTTGATTTGTTTTATATTCATATTTATTTCATTATCAAAGAGCAACTTAGAAGATCAAGTGGCAGTTGAATGAGCGTGTATAGATTTAGGGTCTGAGTGTCTGGTTTTTCTTTTCATTGTCTTTGAGAATAGGTTGAGTGTGACCTGCGCTTTTTCTTGCAACGAGATTTTTACAAAAAAGGAATGCAAGTTGGATGTATATGAATCGGTGAGCTGCTCAAAAGGAATTTACCTTCATGAAGGTGATTACACTTCCTTTCTTTAGATCAGAGTTCTTTTACAGTCGTCTAACAGGTTGTTACAATATTCATCATTCCAACTAGGTCCTCTATGATAATGGCTTTCCCGTTCCAGAAGCAATTGATCAACCTTGACATGATGTAGTCATATCACTCATTCACCCTTTTCCACTTCATCAAGTTTCCGCGCTAGCAGATCCAGATCGACTCCACTCTCAGCTCTCAAATTTGATTGCTTGACTAGCTGACCTCGGGCTCATTCACGGAGATTTCAACGAATTCAATATTCTCATTGTTACTTATAAAGAGGATGAGAAGGCTGAAACAATCCTGATTGATTTCCCTCAAATGGTACCTACTGAACACACAAACACAGAGCTGTACGCTATTCCTTCTCTCAGCCCATGATTTGACATCTTTGATGTTTATTCTTCAATGCTTACATAGACCTTCTTTGGTAGTTATACTTAACAGGGATGTAAAGTGTATTTGTGCCTCTTTCCTTTGTAGGTTTAGGTATCGGTCAAAGCTACACCCAATTTTTAATTTTGCAATACGAGAGGGGAAGCGAGTGCGTGCTCAAATTTTGGCCAGTTCAGGAGCTACTTTCTCTTCTGTTGAACGATAAAGTCAACAAACAATATGTCTTGCATCTCCTTGTAGTACAGAGTCTGGACAAAGATTGAATTCTCCGCAGATAAGATGGACCCACAAAACGTGGCAGGGGTTGCCAATTACATTGATTAGCATGAGGCAATAATAAGATACTTGGTTTTTGGTTATTGGACGCTTCTTGAAAGGAAACTTGAGTCAAGATCTCCATATGTAAAGAATAGATTCATCGATGAAGATGAACGCACCAAGCAAGTAAGGTGATGAGGTACATTGAACAAATTAACAAACTTTCCAAGATGTTCTATGCCGCGAACAAGTCCCCAGAAAGACTGTTTTGGCAGGAGTTCAGCCCGCAGGAGCAATTGATCTGGGTGATTTCAGGTAGCCGCTTGTCACACAAGGTTATTCAGCTCGGTGGTTTGCTCAGGTCGGGTTGAGTCACTCGACGCTGGAAACTGTATCACTGTTCTACATACCAGGGCACGCAAGTCGGGATGTGAATTTGATTGAACAGGATAAACTTATCAAGGATTAAAGTCATCAGAGTCCGACTCCCACTCTGTCGCTCACGGCCAAGTCCCAAGCATATGATCAAAGTTGAAGATCGTGAAAATCACTCTCGGACTTTGTATCTCACAACGGTGAGCAAGTAATTGAGCCAGGAGCGTCTGGCGTGATAACGCGCTGCGGATGATGGTCATTTTAGCAGTCTTGACAAGATCAGTTGGGTAGTGGAAGTCATGATTCATTTTCTGCTGAGCCAGAAGAGATACCGAATGGGCTTATTGACAATGTCTGTGATAAAGGGAAATATCAAGCAAGAAGTAAGCAATGGAACCGTTCAAGAGAAGGGGGCCTTCTTGCCCTCTAGGCTTCCTTGCGTCCTCAGGATCCTTCCTGAGGCTCAGGAACTTCTGATCAATAACTTGCAGCATTTCTCAGTCTTAGCTGAGTGGCATACTCAGTAGTGGAATTAACTTGAAGTGAAGTCCACACAAACATGGAACAAAGTGGGACTATCTACCCTTCTCAACGTCGAGAACAGATGTGGTGGATGCAGTGCTCCTTATACATCCAGGCTGCTATTACATGTTGCACATCACCAATTTACCCTAACCGTAAATCACTTGTGAATATACTCCACATCTCACCTGAAGACCGTGTTTCCTGACAGTCAAATTGTCATATGTGATTTTATTCCATTTCATACACCACATTACGCAAGCCAACAACACAGAATTTAATACGTAATCTTGCGTAAAGCTGCGACACTTCCTTGCCTATGACACAGAGGTCAAGCTCTCCGAGTTTGGTTATCAGTCAAAGTTTGTATCATGCCGCCGTGATACATGTAAGTTTTTATTTCACACATTATGTTGGCTGGTTACCTTGTCTGAATCAAAATGTATAAAGAGGTCGTACCTCAACGGTATTCACTTCTACAACATCTTACCACCAGACACCAGCTCTCCAATCTCATAATTATTATTGTTGGTACGTTTGTCTGCCATCACGTTTGGCTTCAGCCTCAACCAACGCTGACTCTCCAACTCACTCCCACACCTTTGTTCCATCTCACTAATCAAGCACCACAACAAATCTCATACTCAACCACATGTCAGATTTAAATCCCGCAACGTATTGTGGTATCTATTTGTCTGGTAATTTTGAGGTTGAAGGGAAGGTATGCCTGTTGATCAAATTTGGCCAGCATCATGCTAACAATTTGAGATCTTACATGCAGACTTTGCCCGACAATGGTTGGCGATCTGAGTACAAGACTTACACGATCTCTATTGGCTGCGGCGGTGTTGACCGTCAAGAGCCGCTCCTTTATGAAATCGCAGCCAAAGGTTTTAGTGGCGCCAAGTTCAAGTTGCATCAGGACCATGTGTATTTTCTGCGTGGAGCTCTCTTCCCCTCTAACTCCCCTGATACAAGGGCCAATCAATTCATTTTTGAGGGAAGTGATGTTGTCATGTTAGGCCCACGTGACAATTATGGAGGCAAATTAGTTGATTCTGTAGGGGTTACTTGTCTAGGTATTGTGATAGGAATCAGCTCAATTGTCAAAGATTGCTGCCAATACATGAAAAAAACACCAGACCAAGAATCTGTTTTAACCACAGTTTTCACGGTCCAGCACTCGGATTATCACCCCATAGTAAGCCTCATTATCCTCCTTACTTCCATCTTTTCCGGAGTCTCACTGTCAACGGTTGCCAGATGAAGACTGCCCGTACGAGCACAGTCGAATACTGTATACGTCCCACTCCCAACCTTGCCAAAATTGCCTCAATTGTCAGGGTAGGGCAAGAATGCCAATTCCATGGATTTATCAAGGATTTCAACGAGGAAACCCCGTGTTATATTGTGATAGTAAGTTGTTATGATTCACCTTTTTTTTATTCATTCTAACTGCCAAATTACGTTTACAGGCAAACAAAGTTCACATGACCACTGGATTTCAAGATATACCATCCCAAAGCAATACACAAAACGAAGACAATCTTAATACCCTCAAGAAGCCAAAGAAGTAAGTACAAACTATCACACATCTCTCATCTAATTCAAAAATTTCATCTGATACATCGGATTCCAGATTCATACCCAGAACATTGAGTAATCAAAATCAGGCACCTATCACCGTGCATGAGGGCATAAGCAGTGTTACGTTTGGCTCTGCCGACGAGGCGTCATTATTTAGGTCTTCAAGCTCAGGACAGTCACTCGAAAGAAGATTGGTTGAAAATGTTGTTGGCTCCTATTCAAACTCCATTGATTTTGCCAAAAAATTTTAAACATATTATCTTCACTACTTGGAAGGGGAGGGGTATGAAAGATGATGTTTTGGTGCATGTTTTCAATGCTTATGGTATCAAATGCCTGTTCAGGCCAGAATTGTCACCCAAAGATATGTTGGTAAGTATAAGTCTCTTTTGTTGTTGGTTTGTGTTGACTTATGGCAATATGGTGTTGTTTTGAATCTTTCAGGAGTCTTTAGACTAGGTACAACATGTCCAATGCGAAAGCCTCTTTTTGTGTCATCTCAATTTTGTGATTGTGGTGGGGCTTTATTGTGATTTTGTTTGTGAAGAAATGCTTTTCTATTTGTGTGAGATGATTAGGAAAATCATGTTTGATCAATTCTGGTCATCTTAGTTTATTAGTCAATTTGATTTAATTGTATCACCGTGGCTAAGCCTATCTTGTGATATGTTATGATTTTGTGGCTTCCTCAAATTTGTGGACCGAGCTTAGTTTTACCTCTTACTTGCCATAGTCTCATTATGTGATAGCCACCTGTTCAAGGCTTGTTTTATTTTTTCTCTCATATAATTTATATCAACTGAAATGCTATATTTGAGGTTGAAATTTTTATCTTTTTCACATTTATTTCACTTGGCCAATTGGTATATTTCATGTTATTGGTCTCGTTCAATTTTTGGGGTATAGGCAAGTCTAATGGAGGATATTGGGTACGTTTGATTTCTGTCCGCATGTTGGTAGGGTATTGCAAATTGACTCCGGTTGGGGAACATGCAATATTCATCAGCTTGTTTCCTGACGTCGGAAGCGGGTGGTATGTTGTTAGTTGGCGTGAACATTTGTAGCACGGCCAACAATAGGAATGCATATGTTCCTTGAGTATAACAAAGTGCAACATGGATGGCAAACATTCTCTTATTATAGACTCATATAGTTTTGCTTGTTTTGTTTATACAACATTGCAGTTGCCATCCATGGTACTTGGTATTATGTATTTATAATTTACATCATGGCAAGGGGAGTTTTTGTTGTCATTGAACTGATACACATTCATGCTTGATGGCGTAAGACTCATGATTATATCCTGGATTCAAGCTCATTTTGGGTGGATTTGTTTGGTGTCACAGTTTTTTCAATTAACCGACAGAGAGGTTTGGCTATAACTGCACATGAAATTGTTTATAACAATGCGCATGCTGATACGGATGCCAAAGGATGCTGATACTTGTACTTTGTGTATTTGATAGCTGTTTGGGGCGTGAAACGGTGATTTGTGTATTTATGGTATCCTTGTAGCATGCAAGTGGGATGATGTGTAGTTCTTTGGTTGTGGGGCATGAGGATTTCTTGAAGCCTGGTTGATTTTTTGTCTTTGTTTATTATATAACTGGGGCAATGCTAAGCGTTGAATGCACTTCCTTGCCCAACTGCCAATTTTTGTCATCTTGTTGGTTTCTTATCATGTCTCTAATGACTGTGGGTCCTACTCCCTCATTTAATTCTTCAGTATTACCAATAGAAATTATACATTTGATTATCAGCCACTATGTTGAGATGGTACCTCGTGCGGCTTCAGATCCCATCAATTGTGCGGAGAAACCTCTTTTGTTGCTCAACTCTTATGTTCATTTGTTAAATTTACGTTTAGTTAGTAAATCTTGGGCATCAGATGTTCTTCCTTTTGCATATAAATCTGTCTATTTGTTATCACCAAATATGACGGCCGGTTTCTTGAAATTGTGGAAGTCTCCTGTGTCAATTTCTTTTACTCATCCATTGTGCCGTATTTGCTTCAATTGTCTCTTGTTTGTTTCTGATCGCGTCAGGGATCAAGTGTTTGGGGGTTCATTGGGTGATGATCATGGGGGAACAGATGCTGTGGTAAACATGTTGGATGCGTTGGCAATTCCAATGAATGTGGTGGCAGATATTATTAGCGCTTGTGGTCACAACTTGGACAGTCTCAAACTCAAATTTGCTAACTCTGTTGGCTTTTCCCCTGCCTTGTCAAGTGCAATCAAGGATATTAAATGTCTCAAGGTATTAATAATTCATGGTAGCAGGGAGGTCGGTGTGTCAAATCATTCAAATTCTATCAAAGCAGTACTCAAATCAACACCTTATTTAGAATCTCTATCAATCTCATGTAGCTCTTTAAAACCTCTAGATTTAGAACCCAGGGCTTTACCAAACTTAACACACCTCTGGTTGCAATGTCAATCCTCAAACTTGGACACTTTTGGAGTTTTATGCCATTGTGTGAAACATAGCGTCAAGTTATTAGAATGTATACCAACTCAAGATCAAGATCTAGCTGGTCCTATCATTCTTTTGTTTTGCAAGGGTCTAGAAGGATTGTTCATGGGATCCATCCCTTATCGCTTACCACATTCCGTCGCCCATACTCATTTCCCTCAACTACGTCTTATACATTGCATGTCTTTCGATGCCCAGTCAACATCTGTTGCTTGGCTAAAGTTGCCAATTTTTAGTGAACTCGAGGTCTTGGTCACAAGTTATTGGCACACAAGAAAATATTGGGTTTTTTCGTTGGAACATTTAGAATATGTCCCTGTTAATTTTCCTCGTAATTTCAGAACCATCATATTTATGACTTGTGATGGGTCAAGTGTAGACAATCCTGGACTGGTGGCCGCCTGCGCTCTTTATGGCATACATTGTGTTTTCACTAATGAATTATCTCACACTGAATTGTTGGTATGTATTTGGTTCCTATTTGTTTGGGGCATGCATAATTTGTCTGACTTACGCTTTGTGATTTTTACTTTTGCATGGTCCAGTCAATTGCTTCGAAACAGAATAGTCCTTGATTCTAATTGCTTTTGCGTTTGGTGTCAGTGATTTCAATTGATGTACTTTCTTGGTTTAATACTTAAGCCTATCTGTTTGGTTGTTGGTGGGTTGTAAGTCAATGTTGATATTGGTCAAATATAAACAGTTTTACCTGTGTTTTGGTTTAGTGAGCTGTGCAATGGTTGCTTTCATTATGTGTTGGTGTGCCTAATCTTTGTGATATTACATCTTGGTGTGGTGAATTGTATTGGGTTAGAGTGGTCAACTTCTTTCCGTGATTCTAATATGTCTGCTTCAGTTTATCACATTGTGTATAGATCAAACTGGGGCCCAAAGTCCGTGAGCGGCGCCCGCCGCTTAATTGCTAGTTGTCATTATATCTCAAGCCATGTCCCTACCCATAGTCGCGCCGTCTGTACCTGCCACTGTTTTAAATACGATCAAAATATGTAACTACATAAACACTTTGGGATTCTCACCCAAAGAATTTATGGTTACCTTTCTTTCCGCCGATAATCCCAATTTGAACTCGCGACGACGACTGATGAAAGTTGGCCTTGGTGCCAAGCAAACACGATCAATCATCAAGAACCTAGGTAAACTGACTTCGTCATGTGAGCCAGGCCAAGAAAGCTGGGAGGAGTTAATATTTGAAGAGGTCAGTGATTGCTTCGTAAAAATCACTGAGATAACTAACCATGGACTCACATCTGCTACGTGTTTATGTGGGCAGGCAAGCGCGATCGTAAATGGCCAAGAGGTCCCGCGTGGCCATTTTCCTGCTGGCGCGTATGTTAGCTCAAACCGTATTACACCAGACTTCTTCAGTGAGGGCTCCGAAAAAATTCGTAATGATCAAGTAAGGACCGGCATGAAATTTCTGTACCGTCTCATTCACAGCAAGATTTGCACTGGCCTCAAGCATAAAGACCCCATCCAATATCACGACCACGAAGAGACCGCCGATTTGCCACCGCCATCGGAAAATGTGTCTACCCCGCTGACCCTTGATATCGAAGGTGCAGTCGATGAGGCCAGTGTGTTATCTCTTGAAAATTTGGTCTATGTTAAGACGTCGCCCGCTGAGCACGCCGCCCACAAACTTGCTACCGTGAGTATGGTCCCCTTGTAAAGTGTGTCCTTCGGCGATGTGTTGCTAATCAAAGGACCCCGCGGTGGATAGGTCCCAGTAATGGTGTGTTCGATGATTGCAGCCGCGTGCAATCGTCGGAGCAACGCAATTGCAATGGCCAATGGCCTGGTAGCATTTGCCGGCGGGGTGTCGTGTAGGGTGAATGAATGGTTAAATGCTTTAGGGATATGCACGTCCAGAAACACTTGTAAGGACTTCGAATGTCCTCACTGAAGGAAAAGGGCAAGGCGGAAGGAAGGAGAAGTTATTGTATAACTTCTAAGGCACGAGGGCAATCAACACCACAAAGTGGTGGAAGAGTTTTCTAGAACCGAAGTATATATTTATAATTACGAAACTGACTCCAAAGAGACAATGACAAGTGATCAGTCAAAGATCCTTCAGGAGTGAAAAGATAGATAAAAGGAAAATACAAATAAAGATGTACCTGACTCCAAAGAGACAATGACAAGTGATCAGTCAAAGATCCTTAAGGAGTCAGGTTGAGGTAGCGTCCAGGAACAAGAGATATAGAAGGTTTAGGTCTTAAGTCTAAGTATGTTAAGTAGTAATGACTTCTGTAATAATGAGTGACATGAGTTATTACATTCTCCCCTCCTATAAAAAGAAAGAGAAAAAAGAAAGAGAGAAAAAAAAGAAAGAAAAAAGAAAAGAGACAAGCCAAGAGAAACAAGTGTAAGCCAAGCCAGAACTATTATGAGAAAACAGAGAGAAAAAGGAAAAAGGCTTCAAGAAATTAAAAATGACAAAATTGAGACAGAAAAAGAGAAACTTGAAACAGAAAATGATAAAATTGAAACAGAAAGAGAAACTGAGAGAAGAAAAAAAAATGAGTAAGAAAGAAAGGACAGAGGAGAGTCAAAACCGTGAGGATGTCCCGTCGTGGCCCGTCGTGTCTGTAAGGTAAAGCAGGCGGTGGTTTTTCGCTCACAGTGTGGCCATGGTTTTGTTTTCAAATTGATGGTAGTAGACTACCTCGGCGGTGCATACGAGTGGAGGGAACTTACTTTTACCCCTGACACTCTTACTAAACCGCCCGCTCGTCGTCTCCAACGAAGACCTTAAGTTTTGAAACGTTGAAGGTCCTGTGTCGCTTATCGCCGTCAGGTAGATCTAACTCGCAGCTTTGTCCGCCGTTTAGGACTTGAAGCACCTTGTAAGGACCTTCAAATCGCTCCTTCAGCTTATCGACGCCGCCAGAGTGTCGACCACGCCAATCGCCTGAATCAAGGAGGACCCAGGATCCCTCGGTAAGCTGGATGTCTCGGTGGCGTTTGTTATGTTGAACTGCCTGCTGGACCCGGCTCGTCCAGAGTTGGTCTCGAGCTTGAGCCCACACCTCTTCCCGTTGCTTGATCCAGGTCTCAACTGAGGTAGGTTGGTTGTCGAGAGCGGGTTTGGTAGGGAACAAACGGTTCTTACCACCAAAGACAAGCTCGTACGGGGGAAAGCCTGTAGCGACGTTAACGGCACCGTTCACCGCAAACTCGACGGATGGCAAAGATTCCAGCCACTTCGTCTGCCGTTTCGCGGTAAAGGAACGTAAAATCTGGCCGACCGTCTTGTTTGTACGCTCACTCCGCCCGTCTGCTTGAGGATGGAATGCAGCTGACATATGGAAGCCTGTGTTTGTCCGAACCATCAATGCTTTCCAGAACTTCGAAGTCCAAGCTTTATCGCGGTCACTAATGATCGACGAAGGAGCCCCGAAGATGCTGTGCCACGATGCGAAAAGTCGAGAGGCTGTTTTCTCGGCGGTGTCCTTTTGGTTGGTTGGAATCAAGCGCGTGAATCCTGAGAGCCTGCACGTGACTGTGAGCAACATGTCGTAGTTATTGATCTTTGGCAGGGGTCCTACGAAATCAATGGCGATGTCAGTGACTGGCTGGAACGGGAAATGTGGGGTCTTCATGTGGCCATTTGGTAACGTAGTACGAGCTTTCGTCTTCTGGCAGGTTTCGCAGCCTTGCACAAAGGCCTCCGTCTCTTTGGCCATCTTTGGCCAGAAGAAGTCCTTCCTAAGATTACTGATCGTCTTCTTGAAGCCCAGGTGGCCTAGTCGGCGGTGTGCTTCAAGGATGAGATTGGCTCGAAGGCCTTTGTCGTTTGGGATCACTAGCCGGCCGTCGATGAACAGAAGACCGTCGATCTCGGCACTATCGTCTCGTAGGGGTAAAACTTTTCGTAGATCTTGACAGAAAGGGTCGGAAGAGTAACCGCTAAGGATTGAGGACCGGATGTCCTCAGAGATAGTTGGTTGGGTCAGAATGAGGGCTGAGATCGTCTCTATACCGACGTTGAACTCATCCGGCTCGGCTCCGTCTTTGCGAGAAAGTGCATCGGCCACTGAATTGTCAGGACCCTTCACATATTTGAAGTCGAGGTCAAAATCGGCCAGGTGTTCTAGCCATCGAGCTTGCCGTCTGCTGAGAGTCCGCTGTTTCAGAAGGTACGTCAGGGAGTGGTGGTCACTCATGACATTAATCTTCATTCCTAATAGAAGCATACACCATTTTTGCAAAGCGTGTATCACGGCCAGAAGTTCCTGCTTGTGTACAGGATAATTTCGTTCTGCGCTGGACATCTGTCGTGACTCGTAGGCAACCGGATTAGCCGTTTCCCACGCTGCTCCTTGAAATAAGGCTGCACCTAACCCCAGTCCACTCGCATCCGTGAACAACCACAGGGGATCCTTGGATTCGTAGTCGATGTTCTTCAAACAAGGCAGAGAGGTCATGATTTTCTTGATGTTGTTGAAGGCTGTCTCCTCCAAGTCTCCCCATTTGAAGTCTTTAGCGTCAAGCTTACCACTGGTTAGTGGAGTTAAGGATCCTACGTACTTCTCGAGACCCCGGATAAACTTCTTCATCCATTGGACCGTGCCTAGGAATTTCTTCACTCCTCACGGTGATTTTGGGGACGGCCAGTTGAGGATCTTTTCCACCTTTTCACCGTCTGGTCGTACCCCTTCCGCAGAGATGTAGTGTCCAAGGAATTTGATTTCCTTCCGAAAGAGCTTGGTTTTCTTGCTGCTGCAGTACAGATTAGCCTTCCGAAGGCGATCCATCACGAGGCGTGTGTGTATACGATGTTCTTCGACAGAGTTGGAGAAAACTACAATGTCATCGAGATAGACCACGCAGACAACGTTCAGTAGATCCCCTAATGCTTCTTCCAGTCTACTCTGGTGTGTAGCTGGCGCGTTCGTAAGGCCCATAGGCATTACAACCCATTTGACTAATCCCCACGGAGTCTTGACTGCCGTCAATGGGATGTCAGCCTCGTGCATTCTGGTTTGAAAAAATGCATTGGTCTGGTCAAGTATTGAAAAAAGTTTACCACCAGCCACCAGCCTGACCAACTCATCAACGTTTGGTAACGGAGATCTGTCCCTTACGGTCAGGCTGTTCAAGGTGCGGTAATCGCATACCCACCTTGGGAGTTCACTAGGGTCCTTCTTGCGGATGATAAGGCTCGGTGAGGCGTATTGACTCGTAGATCTTCGTATTCTTCCTGCTGCTAAGTGTTGATTGACAAGTTTTCGCCAGGCGTCCATATGTTTTCTCGGGTAAGGATATTGTTTTCCATTGATGACAGCGTTGGGGTCCGTTAGAACAATGCGATGGCGGACCTTTGATGACGGGTCCTGCATCTTTTCAGGGAAGGAACCATCAGTGAAATCTCCACGCTCTTCCGCTTCATCTGAAACCGCCGGAATGTCAATAGGGAAAATGTCTTGATAATCCAGGAGTAGATCTTTCTCCCACTTCACCCATTGTGCGCTTCTTTCAGGTTCATTTTGTTGGGACAGGCTAGCTACCCAGTTTTTCCACGTAATGGATTCACTCTGCGCGCGCTCTCTCTTGACTCTAACCTCTGTGTCGGAACGCTCCTTCTTCAATTTATCTTCAAGATCTAATTTCAATTTCAGCACCAGACGATAATCATAAATTTTCAAGGAGGACGTTTCACTAAGTACACAGTTTCTTGAGCATGAAATGGCAAGTTGATGTCTAGCCAAGAATGGTGCACCCAGAATTACATCATATGATGAACCCAAGTCTCCTAATTTCATACATGTGCGGTCGAAGGTAGTTCCTGAATCCGTGTGTGATAAACTTTCCACAACGAAATCCGTCAGTACAGGTCTTGCTCCAGACGAATCAAGGGCGAGACCTACGATTGTTGGCTTGACAAGTTTGCGTCGGTGAAGCTTAAGAAGATCGGCTAAACGGTTTGACATTAGATTTGTTTTGGATCCCGCATCTGCTAGCGCGCGAATGGTTGTCCCCCTGCATGTCAACTCGATGATCACAGTTGGTCTGTTATCGGGCTGTGGTACGTACTCTTTCGATGAACCGTCACCTGTCACAGCCACCTGATCATCCGAGTTGTCATCAGTAGATTGGAAATCTTCACGGACAAGTTCGTCGATAGCGTTGAATGCTGCGACACTGGCTGAGTCTAATTCTGGGAAGGTGAGCGCCGTGAAAGGGTTATTGTCTGTGTTGATTAAGGAGGTTGCAGCAACTGAGGTGCGCGAGGGACGACCAGCTGGGGGGTGGGTCGGTTGGCCTGCCTGGTTAGGTGAAAGTTTGGCTCGTGGTGGTTTGTAGTTAGCCGGCTTTGGTGGGGCTACATAGTTCGGTGGGAAAACAATTCTCGAACGATCCGGAGTTCCGGTGCAAGCCCCGTGTTCACTACCACATTGGCATTTACAGTAGTGACACAGGCCTTTAGAATCGAGAAAGGAATGAATCTTCCATATGAAATCCGTGGTAGAGACTCGGGAAGAGAAGTTGGACCGAGTTTGGGTCGACGGAGGGCGTGTTGAGGTACTGCTTGGTTTGCGTGCCAGTAACCCCTTGTCTTTCAGGCTAGCATACAGATCGTCGCAGTCTGCCTCGAAGTCATTGTAATCGAACTCGGCCACTCGTAGTAACTTCCACATTCGGACTTCGCTTTTCAGAACAGGAACCATTCCGAAGCACAGGAGTCTAGCGAACTCAAGGTCATCAACACAGATCTCGTCGTAATTCACCAGTGACTGGATGGAGCGTCCTCGCGTACTGTAGGATCGAAAATCCTCGAATTCCCCCATTTGTAGGTGTTGGAGTTGTTCGGTAAGACGATCTTGCCAGTCTGCCGGTAAGGCTGCTCGGAATAAATTATCTTTAAAGTCTTCCCAAGACCCTTGGATGAAGGAGTCGAATCCATTTGACCAAAAAGCTTGTAAGTTGGGTTCCACAAGGAAAGTCCCCACTAGGGCGATGCGATCGTGATCGGTAGTAACCCCTTTCACGAAGAAAAAAATCTTCAGCGTCGCTGCCCACCGTAGGAAAGGTTTGATTTGTCTGAAGGGACCTTTGAAGGCTGGACCGTTGGAAGTTTTGAATTTCGTAAGATCAATGCTTGTTGATCGTTGGTCGACACTGGGCTTAGATTCCTGTTGGGTCTGGTTCTCTAAACGTAGCTTCAAGAGCTCCTCTTCTAGTTTCGCCATTCGCTGCGCTGCTTCGTTGGCGGCTCGTAGGCCGTCACGCTGGTATAGCAAGATTTCCCGCTGCAGTTCCTCGTTTGTCGGAGGTGCTGAGGCTGTAGACTCGCTGTTCCCGTGCATTTCGTCTGAGCTCGAAAGTACAGGTTCAGCAATCGTATGCGTAGGTTGAGTAGATTCGATAAAGGTCGATGCCTCGTGTGAGGCAGGGTTTGAGCGAAGATTGTGGTGAAAGGGTGTGCTAGGAAAGTTTCCCGGTATATGTGGGGTTAAGGGAGGATGTTCAAGGGAGGAACGAGGAGTTGATGATGGCGATAATGAATCTACTGGCGTAGCAGCAAGAGGGGCGGAGTTAGAGGGTAGAGAAGCAGAAGATGGGGCAACGTAGTAGCCTCCACGATAGTTTCCAGGCCCCGGATTCCTAAGGTGTGGCCTAGAAGCTCTGAGAATCGCGTCGGGATCGAATACTTGATTGACAAGAGTATTCCCCGCTGCTCTCGTAGTACGTCGTGTGTCTTCGTTCTCCGCTCCCTGCATTCGATGATGAAGGATAATTATAGATCTGTAGGTGTGTATGAATGTTTTGAACGTGGTAAGGGATCTGGAATCAGCCCGAGCCCCGATCGCTACCCGTCGAGTAGTGGCTTGCCCGGCCCCCGAACCGACGGGTAGAGAGACCTCCCAAGCCCGTTCGGGGGTCCCCGAACGAGTTTTTTTTGAAAAATTGTCTGCCCGAACCCCGACCGGGTTCCCCGCCGGGGACTCGCTGGCTGGACCAAAAAGGGTCCCTCACCCAGGTTTGAACACCGGACCGGGTCATTTATCGATATTGATGCCAAATACATCGAAAAAAAGTGTCCACTTGATGTTTAAATTGCACTCAGGGCCTCACATCACAGCCATGGCAGTGCTGGCAAGGTTCCCATGTGCTTGGTAGGGCCTCCCCTGACAATGGACTAGGTAGTTTTTACCTGTGATGGAGTGTTTTAAATACATTTTTTACTCGTCGGGTACCCGGCGGATAGTATTTTTTTCGATTTCTACGCCCGACACCCGACTCGCGGGGATCCCCGATCATCGGGGGTTGTAGAGCCTCCGCCCGAATCCCGGACCTATCGGGGACCCCGTCGGGTCCCCGATCGGGGGGCTGGTCCGGGGCTCAGGCTGAATCTGGAAGGCTTGAAGGATTGAGTTTGACTGTAATGTAAGGTTCGTAAGGGATAATAATGTGTATCGATTGAATAGAATCGACAACGTTGGGAGGAATCGACAAGGTTAGAAGGTGGTCGAGTATCCAGAATACTTCGAAAGGTTCGAGAAAAAAAAAGTGTAAGGACTTCGAATGTCCTCACTGAAGGAAAAGGGCAAGGCGGAAGGAAGGAGAAGTTATTGTATAACTTCTAAGGCACGAGGGCAATCAACACCACAAAGTGGTGGAAGAGTTTTCTAGAACCGAAGTATATATTTATAATTACGAAACTGACTCCAAAGAGACAATGACAAGTGATCAGTCAAAGATCCTTCAGGAGTGAAAAGATAGATAAAAGGAAAATACAAATAAAGATGTACCTGACTCCAAAGAGACAATGACAAGTGATCAGTCAAAGATGCTTAAGGAGTCAGGTTGAGGTAGCGTCCAGGAACAAGAGATATAGAAGGTTTAGGTCTTAAGTCTAAGTATGTTAAGTAGTAATGACTTCTGTAATAATGAGTGACATGAGTTATTACAACACTGCACTTCGGGCAATGGAACATTTGCGCAAGATTCAAGAAGACCGTATGATGCAAATATTCAGGATCAATCATAAAATCATGCCTTTATTGTGCTATGACAATATCGACATACACTTGAGGGTCCATAACACCCGAATTGATACGTCATCTAGGCTCTTCCATGGCACTTGGGGGTTTTTCAACGTCGTGCGAGCATGCCTCCAGGTTAGGTGTAGCGAAGAAGCCGAAGGTCTTGCAGCGTATTTGGCCGCAATGGCCAAAGCCGATCGGCAAACCGTAGACATGTCCCTTTTTTCTCCTTTGCCAAACGAGGCAGCCCATTGGAAGTTGGTCATTAAATCGCAACTGGCCAAAGCACTGCAAGACTATATCACTCACATCCCTGGCGCACCACCTCGGCGTAAATTAGCCACCTGCAAAACGTCTCCTCCGCCGGTCGACCCGATTCCCATGCACAAGGCCAACATTCACTTTCTCAGAATGATGGATGCCCCCGACTCTTCGGCCGAGGGGGTTACACGTGTTCTGGATCAGATTAAGTCTCAGATAGGGGTAGATGAGAAATCCTACGCCGAAAGACTGTTGGTGGCAGGTGGCAATGTGGGGTCTAACCTTCTGCTGGAGAGCTTACGAGTTAAGCGATTTCCTCCAATTGACACGATTGAAGGATACGAATGGGTGCTCTCGGTGTTCGGGGGTGCTCATACAACCTGGAATGTCGCTAAGGCCCTTTGGGGCCTTCACTGGGGCAATGCTGACGACCAAGATAATACGGGCGCTTGGAGGTCCACTTTGGCTCTCGGAGGTGAATACAAAAAACCTCCTGCATCCCAAGATTTTAATTCGATAATGCGATCATTGCAACAAGTGCACAAAGCGACCCTGGTTTTTATTCTGAAGTCAGTATTCTGGAACCTAGGTGTGATCACGAAAAAATATTTGACTGACCAATGTAATCTCTTTTTCAGACAAGTCCTACAATCTACCAAAGGTTTTGACTTGACCAAAGCCGAGAACTGTGAAGTCCTATTTGAGGAGATTTGGACGAAATATTTCGACCATTCCGCCATTCATGCCGCCAAAGAGAGCGGAGATGCGACACGATATAACCTCTTATTGCGACTTCGAGACTTTGCGACAGTTGTGGAAGCCCAAGACGCGACACAAGGAGGTGACATTGGCCGACTAATCGCAATGTGGAAACGTTGGGCTATAATGGGACAAGGACTGCCCGGCCTGTCGCATTACGCCCAACATATCCCACGTCTGGTAATGCTATTGGAGCAAGACTTACCTCCTAACCTGGCGCACGCGATCAAGCACTCGCTGCTGATACCTTCTAATGAACGTGATAATCATTGGATGCCGATCGACGAGTTCCTTGAGGTGCATATCTATTGGCTGAAACACTTGTACAATAACACAGTGAGTGACCAATTCCCATACTTATGATTAACTACCTACAGGACTGGGTGGGAAGTACTTACTATATATTTCCCGGGTTCGTTTAGGGGCACGGCACTGACATTGAAAGACTGACATATAGGTTATCGAACAATATACCTTTGGTGAGGCACATTTTTCATTGCAACTTCGTGTTACAAAACTTTGGGCTGACTCTTTACAACTGTAATGCAGCTAAGAAAACTGATGCAACTTTTGAAAGCAATGTCGGGCCAGAAGCTAGTTTACCAGCCCAACATCCACACCATCACAGATGCCTCTTTGGCCCTGTTCCTCAAATACGCCAATGACCACTTGGCCCGACCTCCGGCCGGGCGACCGCCGCAAATGGTGACAAACGTTTGGCGCACCGGCCATTTGAACATGATCAAGATGATCACCGCGGACAAAGACGCGGTTCAATCAACTCGTTTCCGTTGGGGTGCGTCTGATGTACTGTCTTCATGGGAAAATGATGAACCGCAGGACGATTAGTAAACGACAATGATAACCACTAGTTAGTACATAGTCACTTACTTCCACAAGGGCCCGTTTGTTGGTAGGTGTCGGCAACACCGAACCTTCAACTGGTCGTTTTGAGCTTTGCCTACCATCGTTGACAGCTGCTCGGGATAACTTTTCCTGAGCACGTTGCTCCCGAATGGCTGCCTTTTGTTTCGCCACGCTCGCTTTCGCAGCCTCACAGGCGTCAATGAGTGCAGCCTTGTCCAAATCTGCTTGGACTTTGGCCATCTGCAATCCCTCCAAGGATTGAGGTATTTTCGGAGGTCCCGAAGGGCGGTGAGCTTTGCGTCTTCTTTTGGCCGCTTCGGCCACCGCTCCAATCGATCCATGTTTGTCTTTCCACCGCAGGAAGGTGTCGAATAGACAGTTGTATTGACCAGGAATCGCTTCACTCGCGATGATGAGGCCCAAATCACTTGGCACCCTAAGAATGTCCAGGTTTTTGGCCACGTCCCAAGCGAGTTCCCGTCCGAGAAAGTCATCCGGACCCAGATCAGATCCGTGAGGGTACAACCCAGAGAAAAACTTTGCAAACGCGCGTTCCAAGCGTGTCACTAACTGCTCTAACAAAGGGAAGCCCAAAATCGGATCATCTCGAACACAACGTAGAACTACAGGCCGAGATTCTGTGGTGGGAGGTGCTGGGGTGTCTGGCATATCTTGCACAAGTTTTTTGAGTTCCGCAATGGCCATGCTGAGCACAATATCAATATTATCGTTTTTGAGAGCGCGCTGAGCCAGCCATAGTTGCTCGGCCTCTGCCGGGAGGCAGTTGGAGCAGTCGCATGTACGCATGTTCGCCTGCGACTGACGAGTTTTTTCGGCTTTGACTGTTGGATCATTGACATCAAGAGGTATGTAACCATGGCTATTGCCGCGCCTCAGAAAACGATCATCCGGCCACACACATGAGATCACCCATTAACTCACCTGAGATTGACAGCCAGAGCCACCCGAAGGCACACGGGAGTGATTCCGAGGGCATCCATCCGATTGTCGTCCGTCATATCGGTTGGAGTCACAAAGTCTGCAATGTCATTTTGTCCATTTGTACGTTTGTGTTCAACCAAGAGTATTCCAAGACCACGACAACCATCTCGACCACAACGCCCAGCCATCTGAACAAAGTGACATGGGTCTTGACGCCCTACCACAATTACTCGACGAACCCGGTGCCAATTTTGGCCTAACCCCAGCGCAAGGGTACAGCAGATTACTGCCAGTGTGCCGGCTACGTAACAAGCCACAGCATCGACTTTGGCCCTTGGTCCTGTGGTGGCATGGTACCGACGAGCAAAGGCAGAGTGGCCATTCGCGGCTTCGTTTGGTTGTCCTCGTGAGGCGCATATGATTTGCAGGAAATCCAAGGTACCATTTTGAGAACCTGAGTATAAGAGAGTAGGTGGAATCTCTGCGTTCGGCACCAAGCTGTGATGTGGAAAGATTCCACGTAGTGACGCGGTAAGAGGACGCTTGAACAATCTGTGAATTATTCGGATTTCCGGTCGTGTAAGCTCAGCTGGGTGGAATCGAACATCTCGGAAGTCAAGTTTAAGGTTGGCTAGTATCAACTGAGTTGCTTGAGGTGTGCACGTTGCTGACATTAAAAGCAAAGGTACATTGCTCAAAGACAGAAACCTGCAAGTCAGGTCTCCATACGATGGGCGGAAGACACCCCCGTCCTGTACCCGGACATGACTTGCTAATCGTTTGGCTTGTCCGCTGGCCACAAGGCCCCATTCATAGACCATGTGGGCCTCGTCTACTACGATGAGTACAAGCCTTGCCTGAAAAGAAGGGTCTCGCCACATTTGATCGAAGACAGTGTTTGTCAAAGCGACCTCGGGACTCTGCAATATTGGGTGCGTGCCGTTGCAAGGCTTGGTTAGTCACATATTACGCAGGAAATATGCTGAAAATGATATTGTGTAATATCAATCGTACCACATAGACAAAAGGGTATTTTCCTTGTAGTATGCCGTTACACGCCTCTGGCGTGCAGTTGGGGCCAGTCAGGTTGATTGCACTGAGGTTCACCTTTGCTTTCTCAGCAACCTGCAAACGGGGGACAGCGTATAAGCCACCTATCATATAACCAGACATGTAAGTATACACTCTCACCTGGTCATCCCCCAAAGAGTCCAAAGGGTTGATACTGAGGATGATAGGAGCGTAGCCTTTGTCATGGGCGTCGTAGAACATCTCGGGAACCCGGCTCTTGCCGAAACCGGTTCCAGCAAGCAAAAAAGTCGTACGTCCATTGAGCACATCGACGAATGTGTCAACCTGCTGGGGCCTAGCGGCATAGCCGTGCTTGCTCTGGAAAGCAAATCGTGCTGCCGCTGCCTGGGTAAGTTCGGATTCGTTCTGAAAGACTGGTTTGAATTTGGGACGTTTGGTCATCGATTTGACACCCTTAGTTTCGCGAGCCTGGCTTAACAAGGCCTCGTTGGCAGCCGATTGGCTCCTTCGTAGCATCGTTAGATATGAACAGTAGAGCGCGTGGCAGTTGGATGTGGTAATATCGATGACTTGGTGACATCATGACAGACGTGAGGAGTGAAACAACACGTTTGCCTGAAACATATTGACAGTTTTGTCGATCGTATTATGGGAA